GCTCGGGCCACCCCGCCCCTTCTCCAGGACCCCATGACTCAGCGCGGCAGGGCGGAGGGCGGGGTGGCTCCTTCCTCACAGGCCCAGTCGCCCCCCACTCCCCACTCCCGGCCTCCCGGCGTCCACCTTTCTCTCCCCACCTACCCTTCCTTTGCCACCGCTTTTGCATAATTCGCTGCTGGGAAAAGGGAACAGAAACCAGGAAGGAGGGGTCTCGGAAGGGAGGGGCAGTCCTTCGCCCCCCCTTACACGGCCAAAACCCCTGAGGCAGGGGAGCAGGGGGAGGCTTTGGTCCCAAGCTCCTGTGCCCTAGAAACCCGCATAGCCGAAGTGGGACCCCCACAGATCAGAAATACATTATTGCTTCTGCTCCCCAGGGGCAGCTGGGGACAGGGCCGGCCCACCTTTACAACAGAGCTGGGGATATATACATAATATCGTGTCGCTCCCCTCCCAGGGAGACCCTGGTCCCAAACCTCAGCTTCGAGCTGAATGAGGTTGGGGCAGCCCAATGAGGCTGGGGCAGAGGGGCTGCCAACTCAGAGGCTGCCGTCCCACGCTCCCCCTGCTTGGCAGGGGTCCCGCCTCGCCGCTTGCCCAGCCACTCGGGCCTCTAAGAGGACTCCAAGGCAGCTTCGGCCTGGGGCGTGCTGGGAGCCCCCTCCTCCTCCTCCTCCTCTGGGGGTCCTGGGGTGGACACCGCAGGCCCTGAGGGGGCCGACTGCTCCCAGAACCGAGCCAGCGAGAGGCGGAAGGTGTCCAGGTGGCCATTGGAGAGGTCGAGGCTGGCGGGGGATTGGGTAGCAGCGGAGGGTGGAGGGTAGTGGGGCGGCGCATCGTCCTTGCGGCGCCTGCGGGTGCGCACCTCCAGACAGTTCTGGCCTTTGAGGTGGCGCTGCAGGTGGTCCTCCTTGGCGAAAGCCTTGTGGCACAGGTGGCACTCGAAGGGCCGGTCCCCTGTATGCAGGTGCATGTGGTTCTTGAGGTCATAGCTGTGCAGGAAGCGGGCTGGGCAGTGCGGGCACGAGTAGGGCCGCTCTCCCGTGTGCTTCCTCATGTGGATCTTCAGCTTGTCGTTCCTGGGGCGGCAGGGGTGGAGGGCGCAAGGCTGGTGGTCAGGATGGATCCTGGCTCAGCCTGGTCACCTCTCGGCCCGGTCCCAGGCCCACCCACTTCCACCTCCAGCGGGACCTGCCCAGGCACCAGACCCCCTTCCCCTGCCTCTCCAGTCACTCCACACCACCCAGCGCCCTCTGCCTGCCTGCCCTTGCTGCTTTGGGCTCACCTGGTGAAGCGGACGCCACAGACCTCACAGACAAAGGGTTTCTCACCCGTGTGGGTCCTCATGTGGCGCGGCAGTTTGCCTGCTCCGTGGATGATCTTGTGGCAGACTGGGCACTCCTGGGGCATCTGGGAGCGACGTTTACGAACCAGCTTGTCTTGGCCATCCAGGCCCGGTGCCAGGGCATCCTGGTGCAGGGAACTCAGGTAGGCCATGAGGTCAGGGTCGATGGCATCCTCATCTGAGCCTAGCTCCTCAGGGGAAAGGGCTCCCCCCCCACCCTGCACCAGCCCATAGGCCGGGGGATAAACCAGCTCTTCCTCCTCCTCTTCACCCTCATAGCCCTCATAGCTCAGGGGCCCCTCAGGAGGCGAGGCAGTCCCTGTGGGAGGGCTGTAGCTGTCGCCCAGGCCACTGCCCCCACTGCTGCCCACTCTGCCCACTTCTTCCTCCTCGTAGGTCAGGGGATGGGCGGGCACTGCAGCAGGCACCTCAGGGACTAGGTGGTTCGCCCGGGCCCCCTTGGTTTGCAGGAAAGCTTTCCGGGGCTTGCGGCTGCGGCGGGCAACAGGCCGAGGTGGTGGCAGCGGCGGTGGCAGGAGGGGCACCTGTGGAGGGCTGTCTTCACCATTAGGGACTTCTGAAGCCGTGGCAGTGGCAAAGGCCTCTAGGTACTGCCGGGCGCGCTCACAGTCGTCCTCGTCCGGGCTGGGAGCTTCCAGCCCGCTGCCCTGCAGAATCTCCATGCAGGCGGCGATGACACAGGGGATCTCCAGCAGTCGGGCGGCCTGGAGCACAGCTGGCATGTTGGCGCTGCTGGTAGTGAGCGTGGCTGTGTAGGCGAATTCAAGCAGGGCACCCAGCGCTTCCGGCCCCACGAAGTCCAGCTCACACACGCCGGCCCCGGCGCCCCCAGCAGCTGATCCCCCGGCCCCTGAGCCCACTATGGCCCCACCGCCCCCCTCCGTGAAGAGCTTCTTGAAGTAGTGGCTGCAGGCTGCAAGCACGGCCCTGTGCGTGCGGTACTCGAGGCCCTGCGTCCGGATGGTGAGGTCACACAGGTGGCCCAGCTGGCGCTGCTCATTGAGGGAGCTCAAGAGCTCGCTGCTGTGGTCCGGGAACGGGATTCCAATCAGGTCATCCTCGGGGCTCCCCATCTTCGCCTTCGGGTCAAGCAGAGGCGAGGTTAGGGTGGCGCCGCTGGGACGCGACACCAGGGGATACTTCCTGGGGACGGCCACAGCCAGAGGCTCTCCCGGGTACCCCACACCCTTACAGAGCGATAGCACCCACTGCACAGACAAGGAAACGTCCAGGCAGACGAGGTGACATTGCAGTCACCTGCGGCCTACAGTCCCTGTCCCTGTCTGCAGCTCTGCACCACAGGAGCCCAGCACCCCTGGGAGAACGCAGCCCTCTGGTCCAGCTCTACCCCAGGGACCCAGGCTTCACCCACCTCTCCCCATACGTTCTGGTCTAGGCCTCGGACACCCTGGCCAAAGGACTCTGGTGGCCTCAGCAGCCAGCCTCAGTTCATCTGAACCCTGGATAACCGCCTGTGTGGCGGGACCTCCTCACGGCTCCTCGTGGCTTGGGCGAGCTCAGGCTCTCCTGGGCAGCAGCTGGTCACACGCAGCAATGCTGAGACGCTGTGCCAACAAGAGGAGGCCTGTCCAGGCACCATCCTCTCAAAGGGGCATCTCCCCTTCGAGTTGCCCCCTTCTAAAGCCAGAGGGGAAAAAGCTCCCCATCCCTTCCCCCACATCCTCCCTCCCCCAAGGGGCCAAGGAGCAGCCACCTTTGCTGGGTGTCACTGGCGAGGGTGTTTCCTGCCCTGCAGATAAGCATCGTCCCTACCCCCCACTGCCATAGGCCCAGTTCCAGTCCCACTCCTCCCCCAGCTACCAGTCCCCCTTCCAGGACAGCCCCCCAAGCCAGCTGTGGCTCTCCCTCAGTGCTGCCCACGCCAGGGCCCAGCCATAGGAGGCCCAGAGCCCCAGCAGGACCCAGGGCCAGGGTGGGGGCAGGGTCTGGAGTGGGGAGACTGGCTGGGAGTCCTGGCTCTGCCTCTATCTTGCCAAATGACCTTGGGCGAGTCATTTCTCCCTGGCTTGACTTCCCTCAGCTGTATAAGCAGGGGTGGGAGTGGAAGCCCTGAGGGCTCAGCCCTTTGGCCCTGACCTCGTGTGGCGCAGAGTAGGTGGAGACTCGGCTGGGTCCTGGAAGGAGCAGGGTTCTGGGGTCAGCCAGGCTTGGGTTTGAACCCTCAATCTGCCGAGATTAGCTCTGTGACCTTAAACAAGTGACTTAATCTTCAAGCCTCTTTCCTCATCCTACAATATGGGAGAATTCCAGTTGACTCCTGGGGGTTGCGGTAAAGGGTGAGGGAGCCAGAGGAGGACACAGCTTTGCCTAACACACAGCAGGGGTCCAGTAAGTGGTCTGCCTTGGCCTCACCCGCCCTGGGGCAGATTCCACCACACACATGGCCTCCCTCCCTGCAGTCACCCCGAGGGGCCTGGTTACTAAGGCGCTAGCCGACCTAGGACAAGTCACTTCCCTTCCAGAGGAGGCCTGCGCCTCGTCTTTAATATTGAAGGCAGTGCAGATGACCTAAGGACAATTGTCAGTGTCCTTTCTGACATGCCAGCTGCTGTTCAGGCCCAGCCATTGATGGGGAAAGACTTTTTGCAAGGTGGCGGGGAGTCAAGGGCCACAGATTTCCTCTTTGGGACACAAGAACAGTATTGTCTCTGTCCGCCTCTGCCTGTCACCTTCACACAGTGCCAGGACTCCTGCATGGAAGCCTTGGGAGGGCAGCCTGGGAGGCCACACCTGGTACCTCTTTGAGCCACCCCTTCCCACCTCAGGCCCCCAGGCCACCTCCCTCCCTAGGTCAGGCAGTCTGAGTGTTCTTCTTGCTCCTGCTGGGTCTCCTCCCTGTACTTTACAAACAGCACAAATGGCAAATGGCCTCAGGACTAAGGAACAAACAAAAACCAGGTGGGCAGTGGCAGTGGCGGCCACCTAAGCAACAGTGGGCGACATCCTGGGCCCAAGTGGGTCCTGTCCCTCCTAGGGGGCCTGCCCTGGCTGTCCATTGGCTAGGAGATGGGCACCCGCAAGCACGTGGCTCAACCCAGCCCTCTCTCCTTCCCTACCCACCCCACCCATTCCTGCTACTAAGCCCGCCTCCTTTCTCCCACCCCAGGGCCAGTCTCCATGGCAACTTGGCGTGGCAGGGGTGCTGACTGGCTGACCCTGCTGTCAGGTCACAGACAGGCTGGTTCAGCACGAAACTGAGGGCTTGGGTAAGGGTGGGTGTTTAACCCCTTAGGCCCAAATCCAATGCCCATGGCCAAGAGGTAGCAAGGAAGGAGAGGGAGAGGCAAGAGCACAAAGGGAGGTGTTCCTGTGCCTCTCCAGATTCTGGGAAACTTCCCCAGCCCTTACCCAGGGCTCCAGAACCCATGCCAGCAGAGATGCCACCTGGAACTGTGCTGGTGCCAACCAGGCCATGGGGGCACTCCTAGCCCCATCATCGGGGAGGGGAATTCTCCCCTTTGGTAGCCAGGGTGGAGCCATGGTGTCAGGGTGCCCACCCCACTTGTGCACCCTTCCCTCCTCTGCATCCCAGATGCCCCATCCCCACCTACCCTGGCATGCCCCCTCTTGCTAAGACCTCATGGGCATGGGTGTGTGTGGTAGCTGGGGGGACAGCTGTGCCAAGGAACCAGGCAGGGTCTGTTCGGTCTGTTTGCCTGGTAGGGGGAAGATCTGGGGGCCCCGCCCCATCGGTCCCCTCTTTCCCGCCACCCCCCCAGGCTCCCCTCACTGTCAGGCCTGCTAGACCGGCCAAGCCGGTGGGCAGCTCTCTTGAAACTGGGCCCTGAGTCAAGCCTGCCCGTCTTTGGCTAGGGGAAGACCGAGGGTGAGAAAAGTGGGAGGGGACAAAGGTGAAAGTCCCTGTCATCTGCCCCTCAACGCCCAAAGGCACCTGCCAAGGTGGGTGCACCACCAAGAAAAGAAACCAAAAGGCATGACACTGGCCCTGTCTTGGGAAGAAAAAGACACCACCGGAACCCTTTCCCAAGGGCTGACCTTGGCAGCGTCCAGGGCTGGGTGGGGGGCACTTGGGCCAACAGTGCTGGCTTGAGCCAGCTGAAGGGCAGGGATAGGAGGCCCTGAATGGGGCAGCTGGGTAGAGTGGGCCCCCCTTCCCCCCAGCCTAGGGATTAGGGGAGCGAGGCTTAGTGTGGGGGGCAGCAGGCGGAACCAGGATTAGCAGTGGAGAAAATAGATATGGGCCTGAGACACAGGCACAGAGCACCCCCCAAGGCTCCAAGGCCCCTGCGCTGGGCTCTGCCAGGACCTGAGCGGACCTGGCCGGGCTTCCCCTGAGCAGCAGCTTGGCTGAGGCAGGTGGCGGCTCAGGCTGTGACATCCTCCGCAGGGGCGATGGACCGGCCTGAGGTTCTTCACTGGGCTCCCATTGCTCCGCAGCTGCCCACCCGCCTTTACTTCTTTCTTCTTCCACCCCCACCCCAACTCCAGCTTCAGGTTCTCTTCCTGTTTTTTTGGAGCTAAGTTTGCAGGAAGCCAAGGCTTTGGCCTGTGGCTGGACCCAGCGGGTGGGGAAGTTGGTAGCCAGTCTAGAGTCCTCAGGGACCCAGGGATCCTTGTTCCCTGCTTCTACCACCCTTTCCCAGGGCCTCTGGGGCCCAGGGGCCGCCGCCATCTGGACCACCTGGTTTAGGTGCAGAGTGACGGCTGAGCCACAGGTACTGCGGGACTGGAAGGCTTCCCACCAGCCTTCTGCTTGGGGTGCCGAGTCACTCAGGGAGCCCCTCCCTGCTGCCCCCAGCCCCTCCAACCTTGAGCACGCCGTCCCATCCCCCACGTGACGCTTCCCTCCTAACCTCACCACCCCCAGCACTCACACTTCCTGGGGGCCGAGGCGGGGAAGAGAGACCGCAAGCCACGAAGGGGGAAGGAGGCCAGGGGAGCCGGCTGCTTCCCGGTGCCCTGGGGGTCAGGCCCCCCAAGCCCCCCATTCCTGGCGCAGGGGCTCCTGCATGAGGGAGACCTCACTGTTTCTCCACGTTCTTTCCATGACACCACCCCTGGCCACAGCACCTCAGCCCTTCAAGGGAAAGAGGAGGAAGAGAAAAGATGGCGGAGGATGGAGCGAGGGCCATTCTCCCCGCAGCCTTCACCCTCCACGCCGGTGCCCGCTGCCCACCAGCCACCCTCACTCAGGACCTTTCTGGGACTCCTCCTTCTGTCCCTTCCCTACTTCCCTAACCCTAGTCTTCCCTCCACAAGATCCACCCTTGCTTTCCTTCCCTCAGCCTTTGCCGGCCCTCACCTCTTCTCTCTGATTGGTCCCCAGGCCTCTCCCACTGCTCCGTCTCCCACTGCTCCGTCCGCTCCCTACCCCTAGCATCCCTTCTTTTCTACCTGGGAATGTGTGGAGAAGAAAGGGCAGAGGAACGACACGAAGGCCTGCCTTCCAGGCCTCGTCCTGCCCTCCTGCCCAGACAACGCTGTTTGAACTCTCATGCTCCTAGATGGAGCAGGGGACCCAAATTCGGGGCCTTTGGGGAGAAGAAATGGCTGGCGGAGGGGGTGTGCGGCGAGAACGGATGCGGGGTGAGGGGACAAGCAGTGCCTCTGCCCGTCAGAGTTTCCAGCCCTGGAGCGACTGGACTTTCCCCAGAGGGTGCCCACCGCGGTCCAGGCAACTGCTCCCTGGACGGACCCTGCTCACCAAGGCCAGGCCATGCCAGCTCCCCTTAGGGCCAGAGGAGACAACGCAGGGTGCCAGGGTCTGCCCTGTGCCCCCCTCCCCCAGCCCGGTGTCTGGCTGGGTAACCGAGCTGCCTGGTAACCCCATACCCTCCAAGCCGCCGGCAGAAACCTGAGCCCCCCAGCCCCAGAGGACACCCCAGCCCGGTCCGAGCAGGGCTCACTGCCAGCCTGCCCAACCTCCTGGGCTTGCCCAGCAATTGCTTGGCTCCTGTGGGCCCTTCTACCTCTCCTACTCCTCTTGGGTCCCCCGACTGAGCACACCCCAACTCCAGCTCCTTATACCCTGGGTCCCCTAGAGCCCCCAGCGAGGTCTGGAGCCCTCTTCCCAGCCTGTTTTCAGTCCTTCTCTGACCCTTGGCCAATTCTAGGCCTCGGAGCCTCCCCTGAGGCCTGACCTCTCAAGCCAGAGCAGGCCTACTCACCTGGACGCTGAGGGGCCTTGCCAACAACTCCTCCTGGCCCCTGGGGGCAGCGCGCTGGGAGGGGCGGGGAGGGCTGGGCTGGGGGGAGGTAGGGTGGCTGTTCCCCGCTCCAGCTCTCCTTCAAAGGGGCCGCCCACGACCTGGCCCAGCCCCTCCCCCTCCAGCCTTAACCCTCTGGGTGCTGCCCCCTCCCTCCAGCCTGCAGGGAGGGGTTACCAGAGGGCTGGCAGCGTGAGAGACAGCCCAGAGTCTGCCTGCAGTGCCCACAGACCAAGCTGTCCCCACCCTGGCCTGTCCTTAGTCCTAAAGGGGAAAAGGTGAGGGGTCGGAAAGGTAGGAGTGTGACAGTCCAGCAGGACAGAGGTGAGGAGGAGCCAGTGGAGAGGCTGCTAGAGGTGGGACCAGGAGAAGGAAGAAGGGAAGGGTGGGGACAGGAGGTGGCAGTGGCCAAAGAAGGAGGAGGGGAAGCCTGGACAGTCAGTGCCCGAGTGACAGGTGCCCAGGTCCCCAGGTCCAGCCCCTCGGGACATGTGGGATTAGGGCCCTCCCAACCCCACAGGCCCTACAGACCCCTGGGAACTGGGCAAATGCTCCCCACCCTGTACTGGGCTGGGGCCCTCAGGGGCTGGGCAAGGCGGCACCCTGCCCTCCCATAGCCTCACCCCAAACCCACTCACATACCACAGTTCCTTGCCTGGGTGCCAGCCCCTGCCAACTAGGACAGGGGGCAGCACGCATGCCAGCCCCCAGTGGCCAGGGAGATTGGGGGACAGAGATGGCCTGAGGGGGACAGACAAACAGGGGAGCTGTGGGCACCGAAAGAGGAAGGAGCTGGGAGGGGGCATCTGCTGGGAAGCGCGAGCCCCACCCCTTGCGCAAGCCACTGCCACCCTGGCCGGTTGGGTGGGACCCGCCTGGGCCTGAGGGGCAACTCAGGAGGGCTCTGAGCCCAGAGGTGGGTGGGCCCCAAATTTCCACGGAAACACCTCCTGAGTCCTTTGTGCCCAGAACAAGGGTGTCCTGGTGTCCTCTAGATACTAGGCCATCCCAAGTCCTGCTGGGCTTGGGGGGACCGGGGAAATGCTCCTGAAGCGTCCCCTCCCCTTTCCCCCCAACAGCTGCTGGCCTGGTGCCGCTGGCCTGCTGCCCCTCACCAGCTCCCGGCCCGGTTGGCACCTACCCACCAGGATGCTGGCAGTCCTGCTCTCCTCTCTCCTACCCCCCTGCTCCCAGCGCCCCATGCCAACTGTGGGCCTGGGATGGGGGAGGGTCACCCCCGTGCCTTGGTGCCAGCCAACCAGGCCCAGGCCCCATACATAAGACCTGAGACCCCCCCTCACCTCAAGAGGCAGCCCATTGGTCAGGGCCTGTATGAGAGGGCAGGAAGGCACAGACAGCCCAGCGAGCCGTCACCAAAGACTCCACACCCCAGGGTGGGGGCCAATGTCTCTCCCTGCCACCAGGCGCCAACCTCCCAGCATTCCCTCTACCCAAGCATCTGCTTGGGCACCAAAGTCCCCACAGCTCCAGAGTCCCAGTCTAATGCCTGCAGCCTGCAAGGGTGTGGGGTGGGGCTGCTCCCTGCCCTTTGATCCCCATAAAGGGAGGGAACCAGCCTGGAGGGCAGGGGGCAGGGAGGGAGTTCATGGGGCCCCTCATTCCGCCCCTGCCAGGGGCAGCAGGGCAGGGTGTGGGCATCTCTTGGGTGAGGCCCCAGGTGAGAATGGATAGCATGTCTCAGCCTTGGGTACATGGTGTCATGTGGAACTGGGATGGCAAGAATAAAGCAGGAGGATGCAGAGGGCACCCATGTTGCAATCCCTCCAGACTGGCTTTTTACCCTCATCCAAAAACACTTTGCCAAAATGAGAGGTCAAGGACTACAACTCCCAGTATGCATCGCAATTGTTTTGTGTAACCTGGGAGTTGTAGTTCCCTTGAGAACCCTGTTCTCTTCCCAGGAGCCTGGCTGATGGGTTGGGAAGAGCAGAGGACTTGGGTACAAATCTTCAAAGGGACTGTGTTAAGGAAGAGCTAGGAGGTCCATGGTGGGAGAGAGGACCCTCACTCCCAGGCAAAGCAGGAGGAAAGGAGGAAGGAAGGAGGAGAGGATGTCTGTTGAAAGGGGCATATGGGTGGGGAGGAGTTGGGGGGGGCAGTGGAAACAGGAAGGAAACTGAAGCCAGAGACATGAGGTCGAAAGCAAGGGCTTGGGGGAGCCCCTCTCAGAGGCCTGGCAGGGCCTGGGAAGGCATTTCCCCTGCCATTCTGGTGACTTGGGGAGGCCGAAGAGGAATGGATGATGTCAAGAGGTAGTGAATGATGCATTCGTGGGGCTCATAGCTCTATTTGCTTTCCATTAGCCAGCCCTATTTTTCCTGGGGGACCCTCCACTCCTGGATCTGTACAGACAGTGGTGGCTAGGAAGCTCTGAGGGCTGACCAGGTTGTAGGAAGAGCTAGGAGGCAGAGCAAGCACGTGGGGAAGGCAGAGCCGGCCCGATGGCAAGTACAGTGGTCTGAGAGGGATTGGTGAGGTACAGGGCAGGGCAGATAACACGGCAACTGGGGGTAGCTAGGGAAGAGAAGGCTACGATGCTAAGGTGATCTGTCTTCTACCAGTGCCAGGCTAGTGGGCAGCCCTCTTTGGCTTCCCTCAGGAATTTGCCAAAGGCAGCTTTCCCCTAAGTCCGGCAGCCTGTGAACATTAAAGATGGCATATCAGGGGGCCTGGCAGTAGCTGGGTCTTTCCTACTAGAGGTGGAGGTCAGGAGCAGGCGGGGGACTTGCTTGGAGGACCCTTTTTCTGGGCTTTCTAAGGCTCTAGGACATGCTGACAGGCCCAGCCAAGGCTCCTGCCAAGACCTGGGCCTGGCTGGGTGGGAGGCCTTTCTTGCTCCCCTCAAGCTTTGAGAGGAGATGACAGTCAGTAGCTCCCTCCCTTTCCCCCTAGTCCCCCAGGCCCGCCTTGGCGCCTGGCCGCTTGTGCGTTGGCAGGACTGGGATGGGGGGGCACCGAAGCAACTTCAAACTGTCCGGGCAAAACGTCAAGTTTACTCACGAGTTTACTCAGCAGAAGGAGGGGAAGAGGCCAGCGCAGGCACACCCCATGCCAGGGTCCTATCCGTCTGCCTGTCCCCACCTTCTTCCCCACCCTCTTCTTCAGTCCTAGGCCAAAACAGGCATAGGGCCCCAAGGCCTGGCGGCAGGGCAGCCTTAACTCTCAGGAAGGTCAAGGAGCCAAGCAGGCTGGGGGCAGGAAGCCCCAGATCAGCCCAGAGGCTTCTATCAGAGGGCAGTGCCCTCCCTGGAGCCCATTCACTCCCCATCTTGGGGCCCTGGCCCTGGGCCAAAAGAACTGGGTCTCTGAGCCATCAAGAAAGGGGCAGTACCAAGCCAGCCTCCTCCATCTGAGTAGTCCCCTGGGCAGTAACTTCTGACCCCAAAGGCCCAGTCCGCAGCTGTGTCTCAGGCTCCAGTGTGATGCCATCCAGGCAGCCCTAGGACCCGAGGCTGGGGCTCTCAGCCTTGGCCTGGAATGGGGGGCCAGCACCCTATCTGACCTACTTCCCTTTCCTCCCCACCTGCTTTCCTTTTCTGTTTCTTTCCCCCAGCCTCCACTGTCCCCACCCCAGAGGCGCTCCGCCCCCCCATGCCCGAT